TAAGCTTCCCGATACCAGGTGTACTGATGCACTTTTCGATGCTCGAAGAAGGTGTTCATAGTGGACAATCCGTTGCTTGCACAAAACCGCAACAAGTTCATGCCGTTATTGTTGAGGTCGCGAGGGCCGTTTATTCCAATCACGCCGTTCCACTTTTCAGCGTCTACTCCGATATGCGCATTAAAATCGCCCATCGGTATAGGATACTCTATATTCGGCACTTCGGTCAGAGCACACTGCACGTCCTGAATGAAGGTGTCATATTCTTACACCAAATTGGGCGTATATACTTGTTCCGATAACAGAGCTTTAGCCTGTTGTAGCTTGTTGTTGGATTACGACCCTTTCGCTGAGAGGCTTCCAATCAGTGATTCTCTCTGCGAGATTGGGTTCTACCGGAACACCAACACCGGCCTGAGCGCATTTCGGTGCTATCGACACCTGAGTAGAATAGCTTCCACCCATAGAGGTGCAGGATTCCTGAACCGTGGCGTTTCTTTGACGAGAGTCCAACATTGTCGATTTTTTGTCTTATGGCCTCATCAATTAACTCTTGCTCTTTCCCGCTCAATGAGGATATATTCCAATTTCCTACTTGTGTTGTCAGTGTAGTTCTCGTGGAGCCTTTTCTGACCTGCTATTATGGCATCGCGCTGCCTGCCTCCTCCGTTCAAAACGGGTAGCGACTCCGTTGCTGACTGGTATCTTGGTCAGCCGTTGTTTTACTCCCCCGACCGGCAGAGGGCGATGAGCAGGTTCTGATCACCGACCGATTTTTCGGAGTCTGCCTCAGTCCCCCAACAGCCTTGGACACCAGGGCTACGACCGAGCAAGTGTTATTTTCGATGACGTCAATACCATGAAGGGCAGGTGGCGAAATTTTACGGAAACTTCGCCATGGTCTCCAACGCTCTTCCTTTCTAACCTTTCCTCCTGGAAGCGATCACACAAATCATTAATGGATGCACAGTTGTACTTTCGCTAGTTGCTCGGAGTTTTGTTCAGAATTTTTCTGCTCTTGAGAAAGTCGTCTTGAGAAGAAGAAATTAAATGATTGCGGCTCCACCAGCTAGATACATTGGTTCTGCCAAAATCGTATAAAAGACACAAGCGGCGACCAGGTGCTTTTGAACAGTTTTTAACTGGCGACAGTGGACCTGGACCTAATCAAGTAGTGATCTTTGGTACACAGGAAAACTTGCAAATCTTGCGGTTTGCAGGTGAAACGTTTCGCCTTACATCGCCACTGTTTTCGAAAATTTATACGTTGCCAAAAGGGTTTGGTGGTATCCACTCTGCTGTATATGCACTTTTGCTAAATCAGCAAGAGGTTAGAAGAATAAAACCAGCTGTACCAGAACTTTATGCGGTTTCGATTTCCGGCGTTTCATGGTTATTCTTAGCAATCTGAATTACAGCATTAAAATGCATTTGGTTGCATTGCATTTAGTTGATGTTTATAACGCTGATGCTGATATTGCCTTCAAGGCGAAGATGATAACAGCGTTGGCGTTTGTACTAATTTCTGAACTAAATCAAGTGATCGAGGGTCCAACGATCTTCCACACACCGACGACAATTACGTCGGTCACTTGAATCGTAGAAGAAATACAAGATTTCCGGCGTTGATTCCTGCAGAAACGTCTTCAGCTTATTGTAGAGTGATCCACAGAGAAGACCGTACCGATTGTCATGCAGAGACGGCCCATCAACGAATTCAGACCGAATTGGGAGTGTCACATCCGTCAGTATGGAAGTTGATGGGCTCCGCAAGGTGCTGAAGGGCCGGGAAATATACTACAGTGTCAATAACTTGCTGCCAATCATCAGCCACCAGTCAAGTTGAAGAACATGACGAAGATGAAATATGAGGACTGTTGTGAACAACTTTTATACAAAGACATTTATACTTATCTCTGTGGCTTAGCGCATCATTATGAAATGATGCAGTGATATAATATGTTTGTATAATAAAAATCCCTTAGATGACGAAGAAAATTAATTTTTTTTAGTTCATCGTTGTTCAGTTTCGATTATCTTATTCAGTTGATATTGAAAGTTGTAAGCTTTATGAAGCAAACTAATATTGCCATCATTCGTTTCTAGTTAGCGGTTTAGTAGAATACATTGAGTGTTGAATATTAGTAGCTGAAAGTGGTATAAAAGCATTATAGCTTTAAAGCCATATGCAAATTCACTATTGTGACAAAGCACGTATTACGCTCAGAGAGAGCTTTTTATTGATATGCAATATGATGAAACTAGTCATCGAAAGAAACAAGGATATGCTTCTGCAAGTTACATAAATTCCAACTCGCGATTGTTCGTGTTAAAGTTGATTGGCGCTAGTTTTATGAGTAATTGTTCCAGTGAAACCGTCAGGCGAAAATACCAAGTTTAAAATTGACACTTATGACGAAAATTTCATATTCTGCTCACGAAGAGCTTTCAGTCAGTTCAGTGTAAACTCAGACTCCCGATCAAATCACGTCGCGAAGTCACCACGATGAAATTATAGAATCAAATGAAAATCACCGATATTCTCAATTTCACAACGGCATCGTATTGTGTCGGCAATTTCGAGATTGGGTGGGGG